GCAAGAGTATCGCAGAATTTTGAAATGTCCAAAATACCCCTAACTGATCCCGCCTATTTATCCTCCCCAATCCGAATTCCGATGGTGTGCTAAAACCGTGAATATGAAGGGACTCCTATTCCTCTTCTTTTCCATCCTCCTCATGGACCTCATCACCATCGCCCTCTTTCTCTCTCCCCTCTCCACTGCCGTTGATCCTACTCCTGAAGTCGGCTCTGCGGCTTGGTATGATGCGCCTTACACGCCTAATGCCTGCAAGATTGGTGAAGAACATCTAGCCCCTGATGGCCTATATGCTGCTGTTGATGAAGGTTTATGGAACAAAACAGGGAACCCGTGTGGTTCCAAGGTTCAGGTACGATGTATAGAGGGGCCTGATACTTGCCATTATGGGACAAATCTAACTGCCACCATAACCGACCGTCTTCAACAGATGGTTTCCGAACCTTCCAGCTTCGACGTTCGCTTGGTGCTTTCGAAGAAAGCGTACGGCTCTATCGCGGATTCGTCGAGGGATTCAATCAAAGTCCAATTCCAGCTGCTTTGAGGTTCGTTTGTGTATTTTTTTAAATAAAAAACTATGTACATGTGTGATATATATCTTTACCATTGTGGTGGTTGGTTTAATTGCCCCTTGCTGTCTTGAAAGCTGGATCACCATGTAGGCGCGTGATGGCTCCGTTCTAGTCACGCCGCTATTTTCCGTCGTCGGTTTCCCGATCGGACACGGAAACACAGTAGATCCGGGAAAGGTCTGCGGGGCAGAGGGGAGATTAGCCGGAAAACAGACCAGAGAAGTTGTGGTCCCTGTCTACCTAATTTTCTTCCATAGAATGTTAGATCTGGGGAATTAGATCCCGGGGGTTGTGTGCGTCTGTGGAGGAAAGCCGGGATCTAATTCCGGCGGATTCAGGAAGGTGCGTGGAAAGGTTGTGGTTTCGAGCTTTTGGGGAGTTGAAGTGGCAGGATCTGGTTCTGATTTTGGGGTTTCTGAAGACGTTAAGATGAATCTTGGAGATCCTGATTTGGTAGCGGTGGCTTTGGGTTCTCCAGTGGAGGCGGTGGTTCGGGCCGTTTGGTGGCGGCGCTCTGATTTACCGTGTGGGTCTGTATTTTCCGAGGAAGAGGTGGCCCTAAATTGAACAAAGCTTTTGGGTAATTTAGTTTCTTGGCTTTATTTTAGTTTACAGTCTTATGATTTAGATCTATGATGTATGTAGTATTTTTGATATTTTATTAATAGATTTTTGTTCTTGATGTATCAAGTTTTATTGGTCGGTTATTAAATATATTTAATATTTTAATAATAATTAAAATTAGAGGTATAATAATATTATATTATTTTTTATTCTTTTATCCCTTGAATTGTATTCTTTTAAAAAAATAAAATAAAATTTTGTTGTTAATGGCCAAAAACGATTTTTTTTTTTAAAGAAGGCCACTAAATTTGTTGTACGGTTGACTGCCAAAATTGGGACACAATACGGATAATCTGTGATTTGATTTTTTAAATGATAATGATTTTTTATCTCCTTTTAAGAAATTTCAAAGGATAATGCTGTTTTTTTTTTTTTTGGTACATCAAGGATAATGCTGTTGATTGAATGGGATTTCCGGACAAGTACAAGCTCGTTGAATTCTTTAAGAGTAATGATCAGGGGATGACAAATAAAAATTATAGGATACAAAATTATCAATTTTGCTCACTTGTCGTCTCCAGTTTCGTCTTTCAATTTCGTCCCATAATCATTACTCATTCTCTAATTATTGTTGCGTGTATGCTTGAACGAAGCATCAGCTGTTTGACTTAGACCGTAGTTCAAAAGTTGAAAAAGGATATTGTTTGACTTGGATGGTACCATTTCATCTGACATATATAACCACACGCTTCATTTTCATGTAAACAATTACTTTAAATGATCTTTACTAAAAAGTCCAAGAAAAGCATATTATTTGACTTAGATACCAGTACTGCATCTTACATTTATAAAAATTCTTCTCTTTCTCCGGTAAAAAGTTACTTTGGTTTAAAAACACGCGTAAAGGAATGGACGATTTCTTAATTGTTTGATTTAGTCTTTTCCAATGGCAGAACTAAGATTCTATGTAGGGTAGGAGTTTATGACATTTGGACGAAAATTGTTAATTTTCTTGTGGTAACCTCACTTTGCTTATTTGAACAAAAAGTTTAAAAATTAATAATAAAATAAAATAAAAATAATTAGTAAATAATAATAAAAATTTTTTTTACTTCTCTACTCGTCTCCATCTTAGGGTCTATTTGGTAGAACTTCTTAGAGTTTTTACTTTTTTAGTACGATTTATAAATTATAAATTTAAATTTTTTATTAGAGAAAAAATTTAAAAGTTGTTTTTAAAATTAGTAAGAAGTGAGTAAGTGAGTAAAAAAAAAAGTTTACAAATAGCAAAAGTTTGAAAGCAAAAGTTTGAAACTTTTTAAAATTTACTATTTAAGATCTTTTTAAGATCAAAAAAATTAAAAAAATGTAAGTTTTTAAGAAAAAAATTTAAACTTATTAAATATAAATAATGTCAAAAAATTGAAGCACTTACAAATTTTACCAAATATGCTCTTAATTGTCTGGGAATGTCATGCCTACCGTCTTTCTATCATTGTTAATAATTTTTTGAAGAACCCATGAGTTGAAGAAACCCATGAGCTCTCCAACAATTACATGTTAAATAGTAAAATATTTTAAAAGATTTTAAAAAAAATTATGAACTCATTTTTAAGATACAATTGTTTGAATTATGGATTTATTATTTTTTAATTATTTTTTATTTATACTTAAGAATTTAGATAAAGAGCATTATTTCTTAAACAATATGTAAAATCTATTTTTTCTTTAGTCCTAAATTATATCCTTTTTATTAAGATTAGTTGCATTAATGTAATTTGATTTCTTGGTAGTTGCTATATGTGCATCAATTTGGATTTCTTTGCATTTGTCAGCAAATTCTCCAAAGCATGTTATTGATGGTATGGTGAGAGGATGAAAATGAACATGGACATAAGGGAAAAAGAGAGGGAAAGTGTATTTTTAAAATTTAAAATTTTTAATATTTTAAAATTATTAATTACACTAAATATAAAGCACTAATGAAGTTTTCCTATGTAAATAATTTTCACATCATCGAATGTTACAATCCACTAATTGACTAAAAAAAGTCAATTAAAATTCTTAGTTAAGAGCAATTAAATTTTGTACCTTTAATTGTATCAAAAAAAAGTTTGTGCCTTTAATTATTAAATTGATGAAACTTGATATCTTACCTTAGTCATGCCAATTAGCAAGGTAGAACTTCTCTTTTAGACTTCTTTGTTCTTATTGCTTTTAGGGTTAAGGGTAGCGCCAGTGGCCAACCCTTTTTATCGCCACTGGTCTTTTCTATGGTTTGATTTTTTTGGTGCAACTTTTCTATGGTTTGATGACAGGTGAAAATCAAACTTCAATTTTTTTGCGCCATCACTCAAAACTCAAACCTTTTGGCTAGTGACGAAGTATTGGATACACAAACCAATTGACCTATAACATATGATATATCAAGTTGGATATTTTAAATATCAATAAATAACAAATTTTAATTATCAGGACATGATTGTTCTTAATTTGGTTAATGGTTTTTCTAAGCCTTAATGACACTTTTTTGTTACAAATATATATAAGAATTCTCTCGTCATTTATTTTTAGTATCTCTAGTTTTTTTTTTTTTTAAATATTATAGTTACAATATTACATCATTTACTATATTAAATATGATGTTGCATTACACAAATATATACATATAATATTATAAACAAACACCTAAATAAAAGACCTAATTATATAAAACACATTATATTGTAACTTTATAATATCATATGATATTATAATTATAATATTTTTATTTTTTTAATAAATTAGAAATATAATGGTTTATTGATAAAATTTCATATTTATTCCTAATTAAATACTACTTAAATCTTCAATAAAAAGAATTGGGCCTTCGAGTTCAGTGGTTCGTCCCTAGGTCTTAGTACTTATGTTTAATTAGTCAGAAGTTTAACTCCAATCAACTACTTGAAAAAATCCCCCATTTTCCCATAATTCCCCAATGTTCAAAAAAAAAAAATTCAATAAAAAAGGTGGTACTACTTCTTATTTAATACATATATTGTAATTATCTTTTTAAAACAATAATAAAATAGAAATAAATGTATTAAATAACATCCTAAAAAGAAAAATTAGACAACTAAATTTAAACACCTCAAATAAAAAATTAGATCCACTAAAATTAAATGAAGAGAGTATGTAAAAATTAATTAATATTGATTTTAATACTGGTGCTAAATAAATGAATTTAATTAGATAATTAATAAATAAATATTAAATTTTATTTTTTTAGTATAAATTTATAATAAAAATATACACTTATTACCTCTCAACTTTTGGCCTTAGCCTTAAAGGCAGATGTTAGAGACATCTTTGGTTAAATATCATATGATATCTCTCTGGTTTTCTTTTACTTGCATCCTCCTATTTCAAGGTTTAATATTTTTTATCTTTCTATTTTTGCAGTTCTCGTGAGCCAGGCAAAACTTGTTTGCATATTCCAAGGTAGTTAAGTTTTGTAACGAAGTTTCGTTGAAATTTTGTTGAGTTATTAATTTTAATTATTATGTTTGGTAAGAAATGAATACAAGGAAAGTTGTTAAATAAACATACTATAAGAAAACTTATAGGACAACTTTTTCCTTTTAAAATAAATGAAAAGCTCAAAATGTTACTTTTATCCTCTCTTTTTGTTGTAGTACTAATATGCGAAAATATGTAAATACACTTATAAGGAGAAAGTTTAGAAAAGTTTAGAGGGGAAGTTTCCCTCCAACCAAATACCCCTAAAAGAGAATCAGTTGCAGGCTTGCAGCTTCTAGAATATGGTCTCTTAATAGCAGATACAATCCACAATAAATAAAAAGCACATTCTAGATGTCACATAATCACAAATAATATTATTTTATATAAATTCACATTTTTATATATTTAATCTTCAAAAGGAATATGATCTTTTAATATTAATACCAAAAGAGAAGTTAGTTGCAGCTTCTAAAATCTAGAATATGATCTTTTAAAGGATTGTCTTACGCAAACAATGTAAATAATTTAATGATAATTTTTTTTATTTAAAAATAAAAAATTTTAATTGTGCAACCCTATACCAAAACAAAAATGTAGTGTTATATGAGTAAAATGAGTTAAGAAATAAGAGAAAAATACTTTCTATTGGATCAAAAACAACAATGTAGTGCATGAGGTTTGTATAGTCAACTTTCTAGAATTTGGCTTTTGTATGTTTCGTAAATGGAGAATAAATATATAAAAATAATATATGAGTGGGAAATATGAGAGTCTGATGGAATTCAAACCCCGTTGCGTCCAAATGCAGAAAAGCTTGACAATAATTAGAGAGACAATGAGAAAACACAGCAAAGTCTACTTGAGAACGAATGTGCCACATCCTACCGTCATTTGATAGGCAGTCATATTTGACACCTCACTCGTCGTTGTGCATACCGAAAGAGAGACGGTCAGACGCCGGCATGTTTGATGCGATTTTTTCAATTTCATTGCATTAAAACGATGTATGGATATACTGATAGTGATAGACAGTGACGTCCATTATTGAAGCAAGGGCATCGTTTTCTAAAGGCTAAATGCCAAAATTTCGTCCTTAACTTTATGGTATTTTTGGGTATCAAAAAAACTTTACTGGATTTTTATAAATTTTATCTATCAATTATTTTATATACTCTTTTTTTTTTATTCCTTTACTCTAAAAATTTTTAATTCTTTCCTATGTTATTCAGCTAAGTCTGTTTATACAAATTTATGAACTAAAAATATGAATATATTATAAGTTAAAAATAATATATAACATAACATCTTTTTAAATAATATTTTTAAAAATCAAATGTTGAATTAAAAGTATTATTTATATAAATTATATATGTCAATTTTTATATTAATTTAATATTTATAATTTTTTAATAAAAATTTTTTACTTACTAACATATATTTTAACAGTGTTAAATTTTTTATAATTAACAAAATAATTAAATATACCAAAACAATTTAAAAATCGACATATATAATCTATATGAATATAAATTTTAATCAAACGGTTAATTTTTAAACATATTAATTAAAAATTAAATTTTTAGACATGTTCTTTAAAAAAATTTTAAAACGTAGATTTATAAAATATTTTTAAGTTTAAAGATTAAAAATGTGCATATATTATAAATTTAAGAACAATGCATTTTGTACTGGTATCTACAGTTTCCCAGCTTCAGATAACCTACGGATCTCTTCCAGGCCTTCCGAGTCAGCCCTCATATATGTCCATGAATATATGCATCATCAAAAGTAAAAGGTCATAAAGATCGTATACATTAAGATGAGTGTTGTCTACCACGTAAAGGTGAAAATTACTGTATACAAAACCTCAATCCTTCTGATCTTAAAACTGGAACGAATAGTTTTTAAGCCTTTCACTGATGTTTCTAAAAGGAAAAACTACTCATTCTCCTATGAACTAGCATGGAAGTCAAAATTAAAGGACTGGAAAATAAAGATTGATATTGAATGATGACAAAAGTAATAAAATTGTGCACGTTCAACAAACATCGTGCGTATAATATGAATAAAATCTCTATATATACCTATTTGATGCAAAGATTGATATTGAATCAGTTTCTTCAGTAAAACAGCTGTAACAACAGGTAGCCCAACTGCTAGTCCATACCTGTCCTCAAAGATGCAGCCTCACCCTATAACAAAAGACAATCAAACCTTCAATATTAACTCAAGGCTTTCAGAAAATAAAATAGGTGCTAGCTAGTAAGCTGGTAAAATATAGGAACTGTTGCAGGCATGGAATCAAATCCCAACTTCTCAAGCAGAATTTAAGTGATAAGAGGAGGCAATGCTTCTTTTGGTATTGGACACCTAGACACCTATCCCTTGGCTCCAGAAAGCCTTCCACTCCTTCCCCAAGGAATTGAATATGAGACCTCTAAATTAGGATCCCACATTCAAAAGGTGTGGGTACTTGGACACCTCTCCCTTGGCACCAGAAAGCCTTCAACCCCTTCCCAAAGGATTTGAACATGAGACTTTCAAATCAGAAATCCCACATTCAAAAGGTGGGGATACTTGGACACCTCTCCCTTGGCCTTAGAAAGCCTTCCACCCTTCCCCAAGGATTTGAATACGGGACCTCTAAATCAGAAATCCCACATTCAAAAGGTGGGGGTACCGGCCTTGGGACACCATTACATAGCCCAACAATTCAACAAATCAAATAAGGGAAATAAATTTCTTCCTTGTGAGTAAACATCGGTAAGAATCTTCCCCCTCCTACCTGGAGTGTCATATGGTGTCCACCTCACTTCAAAAAATTGATGCATATCCTTTCTGCCTCTTGTACACCAATAGTGTCCAAAACAGCATCAAACTTCCCCTTAATTGTTAATTCAATGTCCTGGAAATGGACAATTAGCTCATTGATTAAAGGATCATTCTTGAATCTTTACAAACACCTATAAATTCAAATTTAGTTTCAAACAGCTAGAACCAAAGATTGAAGCAAACTACTTACTTAATAATTGAATGCATCATCACCTCATCAGTGTAGTCAATAGCTTGCTCAGCACCCACTGCCAATATTCCTTTTAGACTCTGAGGACCACACGAAGTTGTAACATGGCACCCTGCAGCTACTTAAAGCTGAATTGCAGCAAAATCCACTGCTCCACCACCACCTATCACCAACAATCTCTGCCTGTCAAATAAGATTATGAAAAAGTAAGCAGAAGCAATGAAAAACAAAATTCCAAAAATACATGGTAAACCACCCATCAGGATATCATACTTCCATTCTATTATCTACATCCTCAACCACAGAGGTCCTTGAAGATGTGGACAGAAGCAAGATGATATACTACAAATTTATATTCTCCACCCATAAATTTATAAATTATGTTCTCTTTATAGCATCAAAAGGATCTAATCGCATTAACAATCATAGGATCTATTAAATATCAAGTTTGCCCATGAATAAGGGCATATTTAAGTCCTGTCTCAAATCAAGCTGCTGCCTGTGTTCAAAGCTTTCAATCAGCAATGCATTTAACTGCTTTATGTTTCAAGAGCACGCTGTGTATGTGTTCTGTAGCATCCACTTCCACCAAAATTTATCCTCACAATTGCCAATCAACTAGGGATGCCAACATGATAATTGCCTTTGAGAAATAAAATAGGAATGAAATACCATAACACAGAATCAAGCAAATTAACACTGCATACTCTTCAGATATAGGAAAAAGAAATATACGGAAGGCATTAAATCTACTCTAACTCTTAAAATGATATGTGGTCAAATGAACAGCTAGTTACCACATGATCAATTGATGCTGGTTTTGGAGAAAGTTCATCTTCTGGAAGAATTGCAAGTCAGTATATGTGCCCCTCATAGAAGTTGGGATGCAGGGCACCAAAAACTTTCTGCCCAATAGTCAGTGACCTCACTGAAGTTCCAATAGCTGCAACCTCACCACTAATGTCACGACCATAGCCTGATCTCATCTGAGAACACTGAAATACAGCAATTTCAGCTCAACAAAGATAAATTCATCTCAATTGCACATCAGGCATTTTCTCAGAAACCAAACAACCAAAATAAAACCCAAAATAACAAAATCATTGTTGATTAATCAAACAGTAACAAAACATCATCTTAATTCAGAACTGAATTCAAAACCCCACAGTTCAAATTCAAAATTAATACTTAAACGAAACTCCCTCTTGTGTCAAGCGGATTAATTGAGACAGCTCAGGCACGGACGAGGACCTCAGGCCCACCGAAACGCAGCAGCAGCACCGCCAGGCAGGTGGTGGCTATGCAGCGAACAGAACCCACATTGAAGAAGCGGCGAAGGTGAGTGCTTTTCTTGGCGCGGGAGTTGAAGATTCGCATTTCACATGGAATTGGGCTTGGGTTGAGTGGGAATCGGGAGGCGTTTGCTGGGGATTTTGCATTCAGTGGAAAGATGGAATGGGGGACGTGGAGGCGGTTTTGGCCGCGGAGGAGAGCAGTTAATTAGTTGCGTTGTGTTGAATTTTCTATGACCCAGAATTGGATGTGAGGAATGAATTTGATGGTTAAGTCTGTTTCTGTGAACTCAAGGCAGGACAAGGTTGCTTTTCCCTGCAAGGAAACGTTGGTTTGAGATTCTAAATTCTCAGACTGAAACAGAAACTCCATGTACGGGTGAAAATTAGTAGTGGGTTTCGGCACAAGGCACGAGGCTTAATAAGCCCGCATATCCGTTATGAAAGTTAAGGTCTATCACATGGCACTAACACACGTTGGTATAAATTTTGAGTCCTATCAGCTGAGTATACAGCCTGAAAATTGATATTTGAATTTTAAAATAAAAGTTGCATTTAACCTAAAAATCAGTTATAATAGGTAGAGTAATTTTTTTTATATTAAACATATATATATTTTTTAGATTCTCAATATAGAAATTTCCCCACAATATGCAATGGAAAATGTCTTACTTATCATATTCTTTTCTTTTTAAACCTACATGATTCTTGCAATAGGAAGAGAAACCAACTGAATCTAGGCACCATCAAGTTCTCAAATCTGTTCACAGAGGTTCTTGAATTCACAAATCTGACAGAAACTGCAGTGTGCAATCTGGTATCTATTGCTCTGTCCAGATTTGTAGATGAAAATGTGTGTCTTTCATATTATAGTCATTATCAATGTCTGTTAATTTGTTACTAAGTCACATGTATCTAAGCTCATCAGCATTAGAGGTCCAAAGAACAGATATTTTAATCTTGAAAAATTAGCAGAGGTTTGTCTTATGGATACTATTTTATAGCTCTAACCCAAATACAGAGTTCACAGATAGAAAAATAAAATAATTAACAAGAATGCGTGAATGTAATAATCCCAGTGGATGTTCAACTGAAGAAAGGTCTCAATTCAATATATGAGAAGTTTGTTTGATGTCAATCTAAAAATTTTTAGTCTTTTAATTCCAAAAGGACTTGGACTTATGGAATGCCATTTCTTTCTTTGCTTTAATAGGAAACTGCGACTGTGACTGCAACCCTTAACAAAATTATTGATATCAATTACCATCTTGTTGAAAGTGCAAGGAAGTCAAATTTACAACATAGATGGATTGCTATTAGGTTCAGGGTCTTGCTGCTACCTACATCCTACACAGCATGCCATTTGATTCTCTGGAGGTATTACATTATAAATGGTTTTGCTAGTTAAACTTATCTGGCTCAAATGCTTGTTTTATTTTATTTTGTTTTGTTTTGCAGGCCAAATAGTTGAATAAGGGTATGTATTGAAGACCATCTACTACCATGCCCTGAAATTTTCTTTTGAGCTGGCCACAACAGATGGACATATCATGGAAGTCCTGTAAGCAAAGTATTATCTTGGTCTTGCTTACTGTTGGATTTTTCGGTGGTAAGAAGGGGGTTTGAGATAGGACTTGGAGGAGAAGGAGAGAGACACCATGGAGTTACCTCATTTGGTGGGGTCAAACCCATTTTTTTCATTCATCTTCTGCCATTATGTAGCAGAAATCACTTAATACATAAAAGTAATTTTCTCACATAATAATTACTTAACACAATAAAATCTACCAAACATTTAATGCAAGATTACATTAAAAGATTTGCTGCCATTTGTGTGGCTCCATGTAGCTGGAACTCTGCAATTACTTTGCAGCCTTTCATTTGCATTTCTTTTGCATTTCTTTTGCATTTCATGTGCTGTTCATTACAGCCTCATTTCCTTTCATTTGCTGCCACCTGTGTAGCTCCATGTGGCTATACTTGCTACTACTTTGCAGCCTTTCATTTGCAGTTCATTACAGCCTCATTTCATCAACATTTGCAGCATAGCTTGCTGCACTTTGCTGCTACCGTGCTTTGGTGCAGCTCTTCATTTCATTTTGCTACCACTTGTGCAGCTTTCTTTTCATTTGCTACCACTTGTGCAGCTTTCTTTTCATTTGCTACCACTTGTGCAGCTTTCTTTTCATTTGCTGCCACTTGTGCAGCTTTGACACCACAGCTCCAACACTTACAATGAAATTTATACCCCAACAGAATAGAGTTCCATAGTTTCTGAGTGTTGGACAAAAAAATATGCCCTACTATCTATGTGTGATCTTTATTCAAAAAATCTATAGACGTTGCATTCCACAAATCATTTTAAGTGAACAATTTATTGTGTTTCTTAATCATCTATTGTATGACTCTATTCACTATGGTGAGAAGTGCTATATGTGTTATATTGTTGTCCTGTCATACTTGAGTAAGAGAATTGTTCTTGATGATATAATAGACTAGAACAATTTGAAGAAACTATCCTCATTTTTTTTCCTAAATCTTTGCCATTAAGACAGAGTATATAGAAGTATAAAACAAGGTATTTTTTACCTCTGTTTCTTATTCTTCCTATATTGGCTACAGAAAGAGACACAAAAGAACAAAAGCAACAATTGATATTTCGAATAGAACTTTCTCATCTGTTCTTTTTCTTTAGAGAATTCTGCAGGTAGACATGTGGGGTGTAACATCGTCAGATTGATGGGACTGGGATGGTATTAGGGAAATGATCCCTAAGCTTGTCAGGCGGTAGAATTGTTTTGGCCCCAAAAAGGGGCCTCGGTAAGAGAACATGTCCCATTGGTATATAAATTCTTTTTCTGTTCTTTTTTAAAAAAGAATTATGGAAGAAAAATCAAACCTCATTATACAAGCTCTTCAAATTCCAATGTTACATGCTCATCACCATTTCCCCTTGCCATCAATTTTATTTATTTATTTATTTTTGAACAGATAATTAGTTACATAATTACGCCATGTATGGGAATAGGGGAAAAGTAGAGGGCATGATTCATGCATTCCTTTGCCTGTTCATAGCACTCCTCATATAATGAAAGCACAGAGCCCTTTAACTTAGCTTTGATCCATAGCCATGTTCAAACTTCTACTGATTAAAACCTTTGCCACACAAATATTCGCATCAAAAAAGGTCATCTGGTTGCTCCATAACCAAGTTGCCCAGACCACCAAGAACCTCACCATCATCCAAATGTCTCGCCTCTTTCTTCCTAGATGAAAATCCCCTCATGTTGTTGGAAGCTATTCATTTGCTCGATCTCCACACATTGTAACACATTTCCCCGTATACAGCTTCTGGATTTGTTTACTGCAAAAAGATGCTCAGCATCCTCTTGTTTATCATTACATGGCCTGCAGAGTACCATATCAGGATCAAGTGATTATATTCCTCTTTTCTGCAAATTCAATTTGCTTGGAAGCCAATCTTTAAAAGGATTCTCCACGCAAGACTGGGGTTGTGAGTTTTGTTCCTGTTGGATTTTTTGGTGTAACACACCACAACTCCAACGACAGTTCCATATCATCCCATAAAACTTTCCTTCTTTCAACGCATTGTTATCACTTGGAATGGAATATAGGCAAGCTAAGGTTGGATCTACCAGTAAATAAGTGGTGTAATGTAAGCTCAAGTCTTGACAGAGTTGCAAAAAGCTAGTCTAGGTGTCGGTTAAGCGCTAGGTGGTGCTCTGCAGCCTCGCCTAGGCCCTAAGGGTAGAATTTGGTGTTTCTTCTATTCTTTTGGATTTTATGTTCTATTTTGGCTTCTTTTACAAAAAAAAAAATAAAAAAAAAATAAAAAACGCCTAAAGCTCTTAATCGTGCTTAGATTGCACCTCCAAGGCACTAGGTGGCCCAACGCCCACCACTGCATGGTGCTTTCTATAAACTTGAATATTTAACTCAATATACGAAAAAATTAATTTTTTAAGTGTATTATATCAAAGTGGATGCCGTTTAAGATCGCATAAGAATTAATCTTGTGAGAAAGCTCCTCCATGTCCATGTCCATTCTCATCTTCCGTCCCTCCAACTCCAAACACCTACGATATCCCTCACTTTTGCTTCTTTTACCACTGCTAAATCATGCAACCTGGAAATTTATCTACCGGCTTTAACAGCAGTTGCTAAGTTCTAACAACTAATTAAAAGAGTCTACCAAGCAACTCACCAGATTTGCTCAAGTGGTAAGGGGATGTGAATTATGTTGAAAACTTAAAGTATAAATCCCTTCGATGTTATTTGTGCAAAACATTTCAACGGTTCACACTTCACACCTATCAACTTTAGGGGTGTTTGGTTGGGGAGAAAGTTTTTCCTTAAAGTTCTTTAAACTTTTCTTTTATAATGTTGTCTATATATTTTTATACATTAATACTATAACAAAATAAAGGAAAAATGGACATTTTTAATTTTACCTTTTTTCACACAATTTTTAACCTATAAAGTTTTTTTCCATCTTTTTTACAAGGATAACTTATAACTATTCATATATAGAGCTCACTTAATAATTTTTTTTACTAATTTTTTCTATATCAAATTTTTACCAAACACAACAACATTATTAACCCAACAAAATTCTAGCAAAACCTTATTATAAAATTTAGTAATTTTTTATACAATACTTTTTAACGTTTTACATAATACTATCCTAATTAATTACTTTCTCAATAAAAACGTTTCTAATAAAGTGACTTAACAAGCGAAGAAGCCCTCAGCTTATCAAGTATACCTGTGAGCAAAACAGTAGTTCTTATTATTCAGAAAACGGATACCGAAATTAAAATAATAATAATAACAATAAAAAGACTCTACCTACCACTATTAGGATGTATCTGTCTCTGATAGAGGCTTCCAATAGACACTTTCTCCAATTGTATTAAAACATTAACCATACCTTTTATGTATAATAATCATGAGATCAAGCACGCTAAAGATTTTATGGTTGATACTTTGAGAAAAATGGAGAGGAATTTTAAAATGGGAAAGTTATCTCAAATAACGGAAAATGTCATAAAAAAACTGGAGTTATTTAATTAGTTTTGCATAATTTTAATTGACTTTAAACTCAATACTTAATGTACAGGAGGTGATTAATAATGAGTAAGGAGTGGTGTTTTACTGGTTAAAACTCAATATTAGTGATGAATAACGATAAATGTGTACCATTTACGTATAGAGATTATTTTCGATTACATGAATGTTAATTTGTTATTTTATTCTAAGCTAAATGATTAATAATAACATATTTATTGAATTGGCCTTTTTCTCCAGCAATAATC